GTGATGCTGGGGTCTTAGCCCCTGCTTCCCTACGCCTACTCATGTCTTGTCACAAGCTTCTTCCTTTTACGTACTTACACCTGTGGGACACCGGAGCTTGACATTGATTTTGCCGCTTACAGCGGCTACTTTATTGTGCACCCCATACTCATCCTGTGAGCGGTAGGGCAAAAGGATTACAGAGTAGAGTTTACAACGGGTCATAATAATTAACCCCCGTTGTCAGGATATTATGGCACTGAATGTTACACAGTATTTCACATACATTATTTGTTTAGTTCTATACATAAAGGGTAACTTATTCACAACTGCGTGAGTACAGGCGTGTGAGGCAGTATGTCTGGCCGCACACTTTGTTATTCACATTTACGTGAGAAGTATTCAAGCACATTGTGTATTTGGTTCTTTACATGAGAACTGATATAATTACTAAGTGCAAAAAAGTGGATACAATCTTAATATGTCGGCTATCTTGCCATTAGAGATGAAGTGTTGTGCCATTTCACACACAGTGTGCTTTGACCTGTCCCTAAAAGGTTCTATCTTCACACAGTCGAGGACGTAGTGTTCAAGTGTGTGGCCATATGTCTGGCCACACACTTTACATTTAGTCTTGTTTACATCTGATTGAGGAACATACTGCCAGAGGTACTTATATCCTTACCTTAATCTCGCGGTTACATCATCTTGTAATCTAGTGATCTTGTTACTTGCTCCATATGCGTGTTTCACTTGATACATCTCATCATGGTAAACTATGGATCGACTAGTGCCTGCTTGCACTTGTCTACTTGCGTCAAATTCATCAATAACTTCTTTCCTAATTACAGTTTTAAGGGTTCTTTTTAACAGACTCAAATTGTATTCAACAGTGTCTTTGTTAGACCCGAGTTTGGGGATGGCATCAACTTTGTCATGTTTTATGAGGCCTATGTGAGAGGGGATCCACAAGAGTTTGACCTTGACACCCCGGTCAACAAGGTACGCATATTTGTGTCTGGCTTCAGAGACAAGCGCGTGACAACTTGAGTTGAGGGTGTCAAGGACAAGTAGTAAGGATAGAGAGTCAGTGATGATGAAACTGTCAGTGAAAGTGGTTTCAATGAATTTAATAGCTGTGAGTATGGCAACTAATTTAGTTTGTAGAGTGGATGCCCAGTTGTTAATTTTAACTCCTTTCTCAATTATACTACCGTCAGGTTGAGTCACAACAATAGCACTTCCAGCCCTCCCACAGGCGGTGTTAAGAGATCCGTCAGTGTAGATGGTCTGTGTGATATTATCATCAGTCTGTAGAGTGTGTATGTGTTCAAGAGCTCTCACTTTGGCAGTGTGTTGGAGATAAATACTTTGTATAATTAATTTTTAGGCGGATATGTCGGTATTGTGATATCGAAGGGAACTGTCCGCCAGGGTGGCAGGAAGCGCTCTTGTGTCTCAACTTTGTAGATATGGTCTAGTCCAAACATCTTCATATGTGTAGCTGTAGTTTGCATCCATTTAGACTCAGTAGTCCCATGGTTCATACATTCTAGCAATTTTAAGGAAACGTTGTTATAAGGATCACCACGCAGAAGCCTTAGGGCTATCATGAGGTTGACTTCAATTATTCTATCTTTGACACTAAGTATACCTAGTTCTTTCCTCATATTAAGTACTTTAGTGTTCATGGGACATCGTAGGATAATTCTGAGGGCTTTATTTTGCATTTTCTCGAGCTTGTCAACGCCTTTCCTGTCACGAAGGACCAGGGTTGGTGCGTGGTAATCTACCAGAGATCTTATATAGCCTAGGTACATTGTTTTAACACTTCTGATATTAGCACCATAATGTGGGCTGTACCCCGCTACACTTCTAAGAGGTCTCAGTCTGTCAATACATTGGCGGGTTAGCTGTTGTATGGCAGGTAAGGTCCAAGGGACGGAGACACCATGATATTTGAAAGAAGAAACATAGTCAATAGTGTTGTTACCTATCTTGAACTTGGCGGGGCAGCGTTTGCCGTTACCAGCTTCTTTGTTGAACAACTTAGTTTTCTCAGTGGAGATAATAAGACCGAGGTTCTCACAGGCTGCATATACATGGTTCAGGGTGGTTTGCATTTCACGATGAGTTTTAGTATGTATAAGAATATCATTCGCATAGCTGATTGTGATATTGCTGGGGTTGTCTGGTATTAAATTTAATAATGCATTCATAAGAACATTGAACAAAGTGGGGCAAAGTACTCCACCTTGAGGGGTACCAAGTTGCATATCTTTAACTTCACTTTTGTAACCCTGAAACAGTGCAGCAGCCCTTCTGTTGGTTAAGTAACCACTTATCCAGTGTAACAGCCTACCTCCTATATCTATTTTGGCTAGTTCGTACAATATCAGTTGCCTATTGGCAAAATCAAATGCAGCTTTTAGGTCAAGAAATGTGGTGTATCTGTGCCTTTCATCATCATGCACAGTTAGGAAGGTGGTGATGCAATTATGTACACCTTTACAATGGGTGAAGCCATTTATGTTAGGAGACATGTGTTCTCTGATTCTATATAAGAGTCTGCCAAGAACCATCCTCTCAAAGGTTTTACACAGGCAACTGGTTAGTGATATGGAACGAAAAGCATCAAGCTGTCCTGGTTTCGGTATTGGTACAACAATACTGCTGGTCCATGATGTGGGTAGTTGGCCCTCGGCATGACTCATATTGTACAATACCAATAATGGATTGCCCGGCACACGCCTTAGTAGTCTAAAGATGTTGTAGGTGACTCCGTCCTCTCCAGGGGAAGTAAACCTACCCCTGGCTAGGGCGGCGTCAAGCTCCCACTCAGTATACGGAACATCACTCATCGTGCTGTTTGCCCAGCATAAAGTTAACAAGATTACTTCTCTCTACAGACTTCGCATCGAGGAGTCCCCGAGTCCTAGTTGGTAACATGTCATAGCGAGAGACATGAGCCCACTTTGTTATTAGCTCATTCGACTTTTGCAGCGGGTTTGGGTGGGAGACGTGTCTACTGTTTCTTACCTCTGATTGTGTTTATGTCTTTCCAGGCTTTGCTGAGGGATGTGTGTTGGTTCAGGCTGTTGACATATGTCTCCCATGCATTTTGTCTGAGTTCATTTGCACGTTCCCTGGCAGCAGCAAGTGAAGCTTGATACAATTGTAACATTTGAGGTGTTCTAGTTTGTTTGTAACCCTTACCCACCCTCCTGACCCTAGCCCGGAGTTTTTTTTCAGCTCAGGGTCATTATAGCACTGCTGTTGCCTGTTCCCGTTATGCTAACCACGTTTTCTCCTTTTTTTGGTGGAGGCATTGTTGGTGAAGTATTTATAAGTCCTATCTATCAGATCGTCATTGAAACTTTGGTAGTTGTCAGGCTTGTAGTCCTTATACCAGTCATGGATGAAGTCTATGAACTGGCTTTCATGTTCTTGCTTGACTGTGATTCTACGTCTGTTGAGTTTACCACCAGTGGGGATGTCATTGGCTACATGTATACTTGCTTGGATTAGGCTGTGGTCAGACATAAGATCAGTGACAACATCAGAGCTATGAGTTGTGTATGATAGAAATTTTTTTTTACGGGGATTAGCCCACCCGGGCTATATATATATATATATATATATATATATATATATATATATATATATATATATATATATATAATATATATATATATATATATATATATATATATATATATATATATATATATATATATATAAATTTAGACAACACTCACTGGCCACAACATCAAAACCATGTACAACATGGACCTCGGCGAGGTGCAGTTCGAAGTTAAGTTCCTCACCAATTAACACTGCAGCCTGAACTCGTTATCGCTCGTAAGAAAATTTTAAATCGTTTTCGTGAAACGGCGAAAATAAAGGTTAAATCCAACTCTTATCTTTAATTCACTCTTAAGAAGTGTGTGATACAGCCTATAAACTCCCTAAGTATTAGGCTGTAGTACCCATCACCAAGCAGTAGGCGAGGGTCCCTGGCACTCCTCTTACCAAAGCGAGGAAGTGTCTTGGAGTGATGATTAAACCCGAAATTAAAGATGGCTGACAGAGTGGATGTGCACACACTCGAGTGAGACAACACCACTTAGAAGCCTATTGCCCCCAGTGATGAGGGTCAGGCCATCTCCCCCATTTGGGGGTGACGGTGGCACAGGATCTAGAAGAAATGATGTTAAGATAGTTCAGCTCAGCAGAGGCCGGCCAGCCACTAATGCTGAGAGTCTCCTAGGTGCCTGACTCACTGCACGTATAACAGGAATAGCCAAGCTGAAGGACGACAGTACTGAACCTTAATATGATGGGAGTTAACTTATTAGGTTAAATAACTTATTAAGGTGGTGTTTTGTTATGGTAGTTAACTTACGGTATTTTTCTTATTATGGTCGTTAATTTATGGTAGTTTTCTCTTATGGTAGTTTTCGTTTTCTTTACCTTGACTTTCAAAAAAGTTCAACGGCATTTATTTGATTCCTGAGAATAGTTTCATCATTATGGAGTGATATTATTTTGAAGTTATCTCAGAAGTCAAAATTCACTTACATGTCAAAGTATATAGGTAGAGAGATGACAGACAAAGAAACACAAGAATATTAGTTAGTAAAATTAAAACGTAGAGATAATATATAAATTATTTACTTCTGTGTTCCTCATTGTTCGGTTGATGAAGTGCAACACTTAAGTTATACGGTGTCGTCCAAGTGTTCTTTACTTATTTACTTACTCGTCTCGGAAAAACACACAAATAAGATCTACAAAACACACTCATGTCCTGTGTGTGTGTGTGCTCTGTCGGTTAAATTATACACGCACGCTTTTGTGTGTGTGTCTATTTTCGATTTTCTCCCTGGAGGTGTAAAAATAATAATGATAATAAACGGTTTATTAATCGAGTGCAGCCGGTGGCTGAAAATATACAAACTTACGTGTGATTTAGACATAATAATATACGTTCAATACATTTACAGGGCTGTACAGTACATAAATCAGGAGCTGTTTATTATTTTAACATTCGATGGAATGGTGCTATTCTTATATCTATATATGTGTGTATGTAAACGTACACTCGGACATAAAATATGGTAATTTCATCGGCTGAAAGTGTGTGCATTTTTTCATAACACAGTCGTCTTGCATATGCAAGATTGATTGCTATGTATTGATGGCCTGAGGTTGTGGTCTACACACTAATAGTAACTTGTGAACTCTTTTGACTTTATGTGGAATCTAATAGGAGACCCCAGGACCTACAACAACTACTACAACCTGTCGACAAACCACTTGTTACGCTGAGCGAAATTCTCGAGTTTTGAGAACCTTTGGCAGAGCTTGTATAAAAATTAGCGGTTCTAAGATCTTTCAATGCATGTCTGAAGTCCACAAAAACTATCAGCGCTAATGGAGATAATTTATGAGGTACTTGGATCTCTTCTACTGGAAACTTTGAGGCTCAGTAGGTTCACTAGGGAGGTAGGAAGAGTCCTGTACTCTCCTGCCAAATGTCCTGAAGGCTCTGGACCCGTTCATGACTTGCTGGTGGTGGTCAGCGTCGTAGAGCCGCTCGTTGAGGTGATAGAAGTTGGCCGACCTGCTGCACCTTACCCGGAACACATGGTCACACACGAGCAGTCTCTGGTTGAACACCGTCCCTGCTCACCAAGGAAACACAATTACAAATAATGCAAGCATTGGTCTTACACGGGTCAAACACTCCTATTGGTCGTTTAATTATTCACGAAATTATAGGCAATTGTAGAAAATTATTAAAGGAAGAACACACGAGTCGTACACAAGACCAGGAAATTTTGAATCCAGGTATACATACGTAGTAATAGTAATATGTAATGCGTGTTATAAACGATCATACACTGGTTTTTTAAGACATGGAAAAGAGGTAGCAGGTGAGGGCCACTAGTGACTCACCTGTAGGACAGAGGTAGCTGGTCTTGGAACCGTCGGCGGCGCAGAAGTGGAAGCTCTGACACTTGGAGTCCTCGTGTGTGTCCGCGTAGTAACCTGTAACATGACTCTCACACCTGAACCCTGGTAGTGAGAGGGAGAGCCGTGAGTGAGTGAGTGAGTCTTAATACGTTTATGCAGAAGTCTTTACGCTTTGTACAGATATCTACGTGGGTGTCTTTTTTGTATATTAACTTCCCTTTCCTTCTACTTCGCTTCATCCTCCTTCTCCTCCTCAACCCCCTTCTCTTTCTCATCAACCCCTTCTCTTTCTCATCATCCCCCTTCTACTTCTTCTCACCCGCTTCTCCTTCTCCTAATCTCCCTTCTCCTTCTCCCTCTCTTTCTCCCCATCCACCTTCTCCTTTTCCTTATCCCCCTTCTCCTCCTTCTCCTCCTCATCCCTCTTCTCTTTCTCTTCCCCTCGTCCTCTTTCTCCTCCTTGTTCCTCTTCTCCTTCTTCTTGTTTTTATTGGATACTTTAAGAGCTATCTAAACGACTTATTATACAATGTGGTCCTTTCATTGCTAATTTATTATTGTGGGTTTTATTGGTTTTCCTTTTCTTCTATCCAGGCCCTGGATTCCAGGGCGATATAAATTAATGGTTTATTATGAGGCGTTGTTGTTATGTGTCCATTACTGACACACACACACACACTTCGCCCCCTGCCTGCACATAAAAATAGAGTGCTTCAGCTGGGTGACAGTAGGAGAAGGTATCGATTGGCCGGAGGGAGTCCCGTCCACACTATATCGCCTATTGGCTCAATTGAGTTAAAAAGTTAGCAGTGTTTCCGTGAAGGGAAGTCGAGAGTGGAGGCGAGAGTTGGCAGCACCACACGCCACGCTGGGGAGTGTAGTGTGTGTGTGTGTGTGTGTGTGTGTGTGTGTGTGTGTGTGTTTGTGTGTGTGTGTGTGTTTGTGTGTGTGGGTGTGTGTATGTGTGTGTGTGTGTGAAGATAGGTCATGGAAGGTACACATGGCATAAGTTAAGAAATGTGTTCAGAAAATGTGTAAGACGTTCCTAGATAACCGTGGTAACATTATGAGATGTTCGTATTACCACCATGCTATTGTACTATTCCAGATGTTACTAAATGTTACATAATACTTCCTTGAGATAAATGTATAGTATACTGTATATCAGGTGCCTAAAGGAGAGCTCAGGTTCTCAATTGGCTCAGCCATGTTAATATTGTTATTATTATCCACTCTGTATCTGTGTTTTTCTGGCCAAATAAACTGTTTCAATTCAATTCAATTCAATCTACACTACCAAACCATCCAAACAATAATAAGATATTCTGATCTTTTATTGTTGGTATCAGTTATAGTTTGCTCATTCCTCCCTTCAAATTATCTGATGGTTCAGTGTTCTTTGATTTTCAGGAGAAGGTCAGTCTACCTTCTCAAAACTTTACCTGTAATGTTACCCTGTGGGAGGATGAGCGGGTGATGTCTTAAATTTCAGCCCTCAAAGATATCAGAGTGGTAAAAGTATCGTAATGACCATAAACTTAAGTACTCACCAGTAACTGGGATTTCCGTGAGAGTGTCCGAGGAGGAGACCGTCTGCAGCTCACTACTCGTCACCCTCGGAGTGGAGATGTCCTCGCCGCGTAACAGGGCTGCGATATTTTTTAACAACTTCTCCTCTTGGACGTTCGTGTCAACCCCACGTAAAGTGTCCAGGAACTTGCGGTTTCCTCTCTCCGATGTGGGTCTGTAGGGCCCCTGAGAATGCTGACCCTCGGCTGTAGATGACGGCTGGCGGAACTTTGACTTGGGCACGTCAACAACATCTTGATATCCAGGAACCGTATCGGAAGAATAAAGTGACATGTAAGCACTCTCAGATACATTAATAGGACCAGAGTCCGACTGTGTGTTTCCTCTTATGGGCGATCTAAATGTAGAATGAGTAGTACTATGGTTATCTCTCTGTCTCTGGAGGGTGGAGACAGCTGTTGGTCCTCTCTGGTAAGAATATCCTGGACGACCATGAGAGTTAGTGACTCTCCTGGAGTATCCTGGGAGATGGTTTCTAGGTGATGGCTGCGTCTCGCTCTGAACATTTCGCTGATCCTTCAAGATTTGTGCTGAAGTACCATGTTGTGTGCTAAGGTCAGGGCCAGCCTCGACGTATAATATTTGATTGCGGAATCTTTCTGAATTTTCATCCTGATAGTGAGAAGGCTCGACGTCCTCTGGCTGTTCATCAGGAAGGTTGTGTCCCCAATGATCAAATGTCTCTTCTACCTCAAACTCAGATAATTGGTCTCTCCTATTCCCAGCAACATGACTTATTCTTAATGGTGATAACTGGATTCTTGTAAAGTCGTTTCTGACACCTAATCTTCCGTCAGTATCTGGATCTGTTACTTGTTCTCCCAGATAACCTAAACCTTGATGAAGGCTGAGCTTTAAACCTTGTTGTCCTTCTTCCTGTGAGTTGTGATCTGATCTGAAACTCGACTGTTCTTTTCTGTAAACTTTGCGTCTTTCACCTGATCCTCTGCTTCTGGGGTCTGAGAATTGACTTCCTCTTAAAGCTGACTCTATACCTTTGAACCTTGAAACCTGGCTCCCTGTGAACCCTGTCTCCTGTTCAGAGTTTTGCCTTGATATAAAGCTTAAGTCCTGATCTGTGTTGAAGCTTAACTTCTCATTCTTCGTCTCCAGAAAAAGTTCATCTCTTGTGTCCGGCTTTTGACCTCCCCTGTGATATGGCCTTTGTCGTCCCGAGATTCTTGATTCTTGTTCAGCAGTCTGCTTCACTCCTGCTGTCGGTTCATAATTCTGGTGTAAGCTGTCGTCTTTTTTGTGTGATCCAGTATGTGTGGAATCACGGAAAACACTACTCTCCACGCCACTAGCACTGTACGCGTTGCTCTGACTACCTTGATGGTACTGGCTGTTAACAGTTGACCCCAAACTATGGTTTCCATTTATTGAAATCAGTTGGTGAACATTGTTTGGTGATACAGTGTCGGTATGAAGACCCGAGTTGCCCATATCATCAACTCGTGTCTGGCTATAAACCTCTCTGTCAATACTTGATTCAGAGCTATTAGAAATATTATTTGTTTTTCTGGGGTTTGAATCTTCAAGTTCACTTGCAGGAATATTGACTTCGCTACTATAACTTTTGACTGCATTATCTGAAGAATGTTCCACCGGTCCGAGTGTATTTTGGCTCTCAGTAAATCCGTTTGAGTTATATGGGCTGGTATTGCTTGCTAAGTTAACTTCTCTGCCGTCAGACAGTTGTGAGTGTTGATCCGTGTCAGCAGGACTGATCCGAGTATCTCTGAATGAAGAGGAATCAAAATCATCAGAGGTAGAACTTGAAGACTGCGAGGTGTGAGCGTGTTCTCCCGGGAGCTCATCTGTCTCAACTTGAGAAGTCAGTGATTGCTGAACATGTAGAGAAAACTGAGCTTGTGAATCGGCATGTTCTGTGTTTCTGGATGAGCTATGTGTCTGTCCTCCATTATTTGACCTGACTCCTATGTGATGTTGACTCCTTCGGTTAACTTGACCTTGGTTCTGGGACAACAGCACACTGGAGCTCCATGCTTTTTCTTCTTCGTTCACCTCTCCTGATCTCTGATTTTGAAAGTCGCCCTGTTGACTGTATGTGAATCCAGAAGCTGAATTATCACTAACTTGACTATTGTGTAAGTCCTCTGTGTGTCCACGTGGAAGATTTACCGGTAGTGATTGTTGATGTTGCTCGTTGAAACTACCTGTGATGTCTCCTGCCTGAGGAAAGTTGGAGAATTTGATATTATTTATCTTGTTTGGACCAAAGGCATCTCTCAGTTGTGGAGACTTGAAGTGTCGATCGAGCAACTGTTGCTGTAATGTCTCGTGTTGTGGGTGTATGGACCCTGGGAGGTAGTCAGTAGGTTGTTGTGTTAAGTGCACCGTCTGGCCCCCGCTGTTTACCTGTGGTCGCCAAGACGAGTGATGGCTCTCTGTCTCCTGCTGTGGCTTTAGTTGTTGTGAATTATATTTACTTGTTTCTTGATTCTGTAGTTGTAGTAAATCACGATTAGTTGTCTGTTGTTGTTGCTGTTGTTGTTGTTGTGATAGAAAACCCTGATCATCTGGTTGTTGTAGTCGTTGTTGTTGCTGTTGTGGTAAACTCGGACTACTAATTCGCTGTTGTAAGTACTGTGATGTGCTCTGATTGACGAATTCCGTTTGGTGTTGTGGAAATCTTTGAGTTTTGTTTTGTTGTCCTCGTTGTGATATTCGACGATTTATCATATGTTGCTGACGGACAGAGAGTCGTTGGAGGTTGTTAACTGACTGTTGATATTGGCTCTGCTGGAGGTCTTCTGGTTCGTCTCTCATCTGCGGATGCCAGGAGTTGTGGAGGTGCTCAGTCAACTCTTCTCTCCTGTTGCTGGAAACTCCTGAATTTTGAATTGCTTTCCTGGAGTTGCTCAGTAAACGTTGGCCACTGATTGGCTGACTGATTCCAGAAGAAAAATCATGACTTGTGTTCCTCTGCTGTGAGTTGACACGGGAAGTTTGTTGATTCACCGACGTCTGCTGAGAGCTAGAAAACTGAAGCGGGTCTTTTTGTCGACTGACGATTTCAGATTCATTTTGTCGTTCGAGCTGGCTCCCAATCGCTTCCTCAGTATTAGAAGGATTTTGTTGAGCACCTTCACTTGGTTCTCTCCGTCTTGGTGACAGTGGATAACCTTCAATAAGCCTATGAAAGGGAAATGCTAGTGATCTGGACGCGGCTGAACCACTACTTTGTGTCTTGTCGGGACGGCTCAAGTCGTCTGATATTTCTGAGTCTCCCAAATCGTCTAATAATCTTATTTTTCCAGAGAGATTGTTAGAACTGTTATCTTCTTTGACATCTTCAGGAGTAAAGACCGATCTTGTTGGTGACTCTGGCTCGGCTCCCTGCCTCACACCTCCTGCTAGTTGTAGACCCCTTGAGTATCCGCGTCTGGAAGGAGAGAGAGGAACCGATTTTTCTTGTTCATTTAAATTGTTTTGAGCCAGAGTCGTAGATTCCTGTGTAGCTGTGTCGTGGAAGTCAACTGGTCGGAATTCGGTGTTTCCAGATTCATTCAGGATGTTATTACGGACATGTTGACGGTGTATTCCCATCCTGGAATTTCTGCGGAGGAGTGCATTTCGAGGACCAGGTCGTCGGACCCTGTAGAGCCTCCTACGGTGTGGCAGTTGAAGTCGCTTCCTGCTACCAAGCTGAAAACGCACTCGAGGATGGGTATTCTGAATTCGATCAAATCTATTCGTAATGCGAGTGCCAGGTTCATCTTCAAAATGCTTCAGATTTTGAAGATGTAAACTTCTACTTTCATTTTCATTATCTGTAGCTGAAGGCCGTAGATGTGTGTCAGTCCCCAAGTCAGCAGAGTTCAGTGGCTCTGCCTCATGACGTCCCTTAGTCTGAGAGTTTCCATTATAGTCAAGTTCCGCATCCTTCTGTAACTCCTCATTGACTTTTGAATTAGTTGCCTGTGAGGAAGAAGCAAATCGATGCACTGGTTGTGTGTTCCTCGTGCCCCCACTATTGTTTTCCAAGTCAAATTGGAAGTTTTGAGTACCATAAGTTTGTGAATCCTTTGAGAAATTTATTGGAATCTGGAATTGTGTGACGTCTGACTCTGGGACGATTGTAGTACCACCACCAACAGACAACTGATCTTTGCCATTTTGAGCTCCATCCACGCCGTCCCAAGGATGAAAAATATCAGACCGGGATGCCGAGTATCCGGCTGCTGTACTTCCTCTCAGCTGATCGTGACGGTGAGGTGAAGATTCCCAAGTCTGACCTCCAGCTCTGCCCACATGAATATTGACATCGGAGAAAGGCTCCTTATTCTGAACCTTGGGCATAATATCTAAGCCTTTCCTGGTTGTGTGTCTAGGTTCATCTGATTCACGTATAATTCCCCCAGGATCACCCCGTCCCTCTTGGACTAGTCTCGCCAAAGCTAGTCTTCTTAGGGTGGCAAAGCGAAGCTGTGTATTACTTTTTCGTCTTTGGGGGGAAGACTGAGGCAGATAACCATTTTGCCGAACTTGGGATTCATTTTGATAATTCAGGGTTATAGAATCATCCTCGGGAGCTGGCATTGAAAGACCACTTGTAGTAGACAACTGCTGCTGCTGCTGCTGCTTCTGCTGCTCTCTCCCTTCCTCCTTCCCCTGCTTAACGTAAGGCTGGAGTCTGTCTGTTCTGGTCTGGTCATTTTTTCTAAATCTTATATTAGGTCTTGGTCTCAAGAAGTTCCCCCTGTTTACGCTGAAAGGAGGAGGGATGTTTGTGACTCCTGACGGCTGGTTGGTGCTGTGGGCTTCATCAGGCAGCTGCTGACCTGTACCCTGGGGAAGAGAGAAATGTTCCTGTACTAATTCGTCTAAATTTAGTCTTTTAGATGTGTTCTTATCTACTGTGATCTTCCTGTGACTTGCACGTTAATGGAGAACAAATTATTGAGTGTAAACTAGTTAATGTTAACTTAACTAGACTTATTTCAATCGATAACTGGCGATCGATGCGGTACCGATACCGTCTAACATATTTTCACATGTCATGAGACCCACGCAGCACTGTGAAGGAGCAGCACCATGAAGGTGCAGCACCGTCAAGGAGCAGCACCATCAAAGAACAGCACTGTCAAGAAGCAGCACCACTAATGAGCAGCACCGTCAAGAAACAACATCAGTCTTAAGTTCAAAGTTACAAGGCAGAAGCTCCAGCCACTACTCGGAACATCGCAATGTTGTCCAGAAACAATTAGTTGGTAAGACTGCCGCCAGTAAACAAGATCAGCCCAAACTTGGACCAACACCTCCTGTCTAGAGAACTCCGTGGTCGCCACTTAACCCTTTCCCGCCGATTACTGCAGTTTAGAATTTTATTTTGGTCACCGCCAGACGATTTTATTCGTCTTAAGGAAACCTCCAAGAGCCAAAGGTCTCATGTAAACTCAGAGAATAAAATTCCACAAAGCTTTTCTCATCCTAGAACAGTGACACATAACATGTCATGAAAAAATAATTGTATTAAATATGAAACACATCAATTGAATAATTCATATGACATTTTCGAAGAAAATAAATCCAAAAACGCCCTCTAGAGGGCAGAGCTATTACAAATAACGAGTTATGACACACAACGTAGGAGTAATTTATTGCGAAATTAATGGAAATCATTAACTATATTGTCAAACTGTCATTCAGAAACAGCCAGGATGGAGCAGTGTTATCCCAGAATAATGCAGCGCCGCAGTAACGAGGGACATGGCTCGCATATTTAAAGAGGAAATCGGCCGATGCGTCATTGAGATTTCGCCTGGGAATATTAGTTCTCAAGTCGGCCACATGGAGACATCACCACTTCAGAGTGTTACGGCTGACTGCATTATGGCGAGCTGCAGTACTTTCACTTCAAATATAAAAGAGATAAGTTAAGGAATTGTCGAAACATCGTCCAGAAAGGAATACCCCGTGAGAGCCGGCGAGGAAGGGAGAAGGGACTTAACGTTACCCAAAATCAATACCGAGCACCGGGACATGTACACTTTATCTCTAATGGAAATTGGTGGAGGGGGATGTGGAGTATCTTCAAGAGGCAGAAAACTTACTGTATAATGGGAAACATATTCATCCCTCATCCCTCAAAAACAGATGCCTTTTAGTAGACCCCAAGTGTTATTATTAGGAAATATAATATATGAATATTACATTCTATAAAGGTTCAGTAAATATGCATATAATATAATCCATTTTTTATTAAGCTATATAATCAGACTTTACATATATTACGTGTATGAGAGATTACTCTAGTTTTGTAGGTGAGGGTCACAAGTTTGAGGCGGTGCTGCTGGAGTTAGGGAGAGAAGGGGAGTAGAAGTTGGCAATATGGTCACGACCGATCAATTGTTGTGAGCTGCGACCACACACCAGCCAGCCTCACTCCCTCACCACACACCAACCAGCCTCACTCCCTCACCACCACACACCAGCCAGCCTTACTCCCTCACCACCACACCAGCTAGCCTCACTCCCTCACCACCACACCAGCCAGCCTCAATCCCTCACCACCACACACCAGCCAGCCTCACTCCCTCACCACACACCAGCCAGCCTCACTCTCTCACCACCAAACAACAGCCAGCCTCACTCCCTCACCACCACTCACCAGCCAGCCTCACCCTCACCACACACCAACCAGCGTCACTCCCTCACCACACACCAGCCAGCCTTACTCCCTCACCACCACACCAGCCAGCCTCAATCCCTCACCACCACACACACCAGCCAGCCTCACTCCCTCACCACACACCAGCCAGCCTCACTCTCTCACCACCACTCACCAGCCAGCCTCACTCCCTCACCACACACCAACCAGCGTCACTCCCTCACCACACACCAGCCAGCCTCACTCCCTCACCACACACCAGCCAGCATCACTCCCTCACACACACACTAGCCAGCCTCACTCCCTCACCACACACCAGCCAGCATCTCTCCCTCACCACACACCAGCCAGCCTCACTCCCTCACCACCACACCAGCCAGCCTCACTCCCTCGCCACCACACCAGGAGGGGAACTTGCAGTACCACCTCAACAATACCCAAAGTCTTCCCCTTGAACTGTCTCCTTTACTGAAATATTTTTTTTTTTTTGGTAGATCCTAAGTTTACAGTATAGCACAGACCAAATTTATACCTTATTGTGTTGGTGAAAATTATAGTTTTTAATTTCCTATGTCATAACAGGGTGTCTGAAAAAAATTATCGACACTGAATTATTTTATTTCTCAAAAAAAATATACACCCTTAAATAAATAAATGAAAGATATAGATTAATTAAAAGGGGGTCGATACTGAAATATATTACCTCCTTTGAATTAATTATTATATGTTTTTTTTTATTTATTTTCTGATGTAAATACAGTTATATATAGACTGTTTTAGGCACATCCTGTGTTTTATCATCGGTAAATATTTACATATGGTGTACGTTCGTGTATGATTCCTACCCAATATAACAAAATCAATTCCAAACAAACTCCACGTTACAACCACCCACACTGGTCTGGTCAGGCTGGGCGTAATACCTGCGACCACAAGTAAAAAAACTCCACTTACCTGGGATATTGAACCAGTCACGACCAGTGTCCAATTACCATGTGCTCTCTGCCACCTGTTATTGTGAATATTACCTGACATATTCTAGATTTAATTGAAAGTTATACTAATTGGCCCTAGTTTTGGGATATATATATATATATATATATATATATATATATATATATATATATATATATATATATATATATATATATATATATATATATATATATATATATATGCGTATGTATGTATGTATCCTAGATTGTAAACAGAAAATGAAAAAAAGAGGACAGGGTTACTGTGTTTGTGTTTTATAAGATACAAAATATTAATGTAATATAACTTTGATCAATATTTGTGTGTGTGTGTGTGTGTGTATACATCTCTGTATGTTTAGGTGATTCTATATATGAATTTATTACTCTATGTTTGTTATGAGTCTAATGTGAGTGAGTTGAGGTGAATGTTAGTGCGTTAGTGTATGAGTATAAAGTGCAACTAAATGTGAGTGTAGGTGTTATGCCAGCAGAAGTCACTGTTCTTGTCAGACGTCATACGCCTCTTCAAGGATAACTATTACGTAATTCAATATTTCAGTTTGTTTACTCTGGATGTGTACTTAGGTGTAGAGCAGCAGGCGAGGGGGACTCACCAGGGCTGTGAGCCCGAGGATCAGCACGGAGAGTCCTGCAGGAGGAGGAGAAACACAAGATCAGGAACGCTGTCACACACACATCAACGAGACTAAATCTATCACCACGTCCTTGAGACATTTGGTGATTATGTTAATGGGCGGCAACTGTGTCAGCGACGGGGAGTGATCTCACACACACACACACACACACACACACACACACACACACACACACTCTTTTTATTTATTAAAAATAAATATAAAATCTAGACTAAGAGAATGGAGTTTGGGGAAATCCTGTATGTATATTAAAAACATGGAAGTGTGTTTATGAAGATGCAGCCAACAATCAATCAACCAATAGCTAGTGACAGGGATGAAGGAGGTTCAGTGGAAGGATAAAGGTGGTGAGGGAAGGGAGATTGTAGTAAGGAGAGGATAGATTGCCGTGGCTTAACACAGCTTGCGGGGTAGTGGGGCAGAGCCCTGATTGGTGGAGGTAAATACACGACCGGACTCGGCAGCAGGAGATTGGTGGCGGCAGGTTGTCTGGTAGTGTTGACGGGTAACTTGATTCTTCTGTCTTTTCTTCTTGGTGTTTCTTGTTACTGATGGGCTGGCTGCTATGGGTCTTGTGTTGTGGGCTTGTTATGTTGAAGACAAAGTTCTTCTCTTCTTCTTTTTCTTTTCTTGGATTATCCACTCACTAGTGTCTTGGTCTTGTTCTTCCTCGAGTCCATGATGTTCGCAAATGTTGAGGAAGACTGAGGAGGTGATCCTGATGAGCTGAGATTCTGGGTCAACGGGCGCGTTAATTAGTTTCTTGATAACTTGTAGTTTGATGACTTCATGGTTCTTTAGGTCTTGCTTTTTCTCTCTTTTTTCTTCTTTCTTCTTCTTTTCTTAGTTTCTTTTTTTTTGTTTTTTTCTTTTCTTGTATTGGCGGATCCTCGCTATCTTGCACTGCTCCCGCCACGTGGGACACAGCTTGTCGGCGGAGTGTTGGCCGCCACAGACTACGCATTTCTTCTCTTGGTTGGGGTAGGAGGTGTAGCGATGCCCGGTGTTTCCACACTTTGAGCACACATCCTCCTGAGCCTTGCACTTGGTGGTGGTGTGTCAGTAGCGCTGGCATTTATAGCAGCGTTTAGGTCTGCAGAAGGACTTCACTGGCACGGTTTCCCAGGCCAGTTGAGCCTCTTTGGGTAACGTTTCATAGTGTCTTACAAGGGCAGTTGTTTCTGACAGTTTTTTTTTAGACAGCAGAGTTGTCCCTTGAGAAGTTGGTTGATTTCTTCTGAGTCCATGAATGCTATTTCAGGATGGGAGATCATTCGCAGTTTCAAGTTGTTCCCCTGGTGGACAATCCTTTCCACTTGTACGGCGTTGATGTCGGTGAATTGTGGCAGTTGAAGGAATTAGCCAAATTCGGCGAAGGTGATTTTTAGGTCACCGTTCACCTTGATGATTACCTCGATTCCTTCAGAGTTAAAAAAAATCTTTAAGGACGAGAAAGTTGAGTAGTTTTGGGTAGGTCTCCTCAACCGGGCGCAACCGGATCACCTTGATGTCTTCGTAGAACACCATATGCTCAGTTAATCCGTTTGTCTCCCCTGGCCTGGTGGTGGGCCCGGCCACGCTGGTAATGACATGTACTCAAAAGGTAGACCAAATTTGCCTTAATTAGGTAAACACAAAGAACCTGTGAGAGCCAAAGGTATGAGGTGGTCTTTAGTTTGCACACATCAGCACTGTCAATAGCCTCTGCCTCCATTAATTAACTCACCGGAAAAATAGAGTTAATTACGACTATTAAGAAGTGAAGTGTATGTAGCTGAATAAGTAATGATCTGTACACATGTTGGCACGATCCTTGCCGACCAGATATATGTGTGTGAGCATCAATTTATAATGAACCAGTTTTAGCGAGCTCTATTAATAGTCAGCAAATTAAAAAAAAAATATGAATTAAGTAAACGGAACGGGGCGGTAGATTATCAGATGTTAGGAAGCATTACACAGAGTGTGTGATTTACACACTGTTGACACGACCCAACCCTCTACTACCCAGCCCTGCACGCCCAGCCCTCCACGACCAGCCCTCCACGACCCATCCTTCCACGCCCAGCCTTCCACGACCCAGCCCTCCACTACCCAGCCCTCCGAGGCCCGTCCCTCCATGACCCAGTTCTCCATGACCTACCTAGCCCTCCACGACCCAGCCTCCGACCCAGCCCTCCACGACCCAGCCCTCCACGACCCAGTTCTCCACGGCCCAGCCCTCCACGACCCAGCCCTCCACGACCCAGTTCTCCTGACCCAGCCCTCCAGCCCTCCACGGCCCAGTTCTCCATGACCCAGCCCTCACGACCCAGACCCAGTTCTCCATGACCCAGCCCTCCATGACCCAGCCCTCCACGACCCAGTTCTCATGACCAGCCACAGCCATCCCGACCCAGCCTCATCCAGCCCTGACCTAGCCCTCCACGACCCAGCCCTCCACGACTCAGACCTCCACGACCAAGCCATCCACGACCCAGTTCTCCATGACCCAGCCCTCCACGACCCATCCTTCCAGGCCCAGCCCTCCACGACCCAGTTTTCCATGTCCCAGCCCTCCACGACCTTGCCCGCCAACAATCAAGAAAACATAAAACAAACAAAGAAACAAACAAAGAAATAAACGGAGCAGCCACTGAGTACCCCCTTTCTTCACTCATATCCTTGGGGCACGCGCTTCCCGCCGCACCTGTAAACGGAACGGAAGTAAAACTTGAGAGTCGTTATCTTACTAAAACCTTGCTACTAAAACATGTGGTTTATGCTTAATGGCAAAATAATGAATATTATAGTCCTCAAGTTTGATGATGGATACGAGACAATCTACTTATAATGGGAGAAGGATCATGTTGAGAGAACCAATTAAGGAAGGTAGTCAGGGTAAGCAACCTAGACACCCTGGCCCGTGGCTCACTAGCACCTTTATCACTCTAAACATTACTTTTGTGTCCCTTAAAATATACAGTACTGTATAAGGAAGAGCGAGAATATAGGTTGTAGTAGGTTATTCACAACTCAGAAGACAGCGTCAAGGATAACATAATGAGAGTGCTGAGGTCTGGAACGTTGTAGTGTTGATAAACTGCATACAGTATATAGTGTTGTAATGGCACACTGTTGACCAATAAGTTTTTTGCGTTAATGAAATAAAAAATTATAAATTGAATGAAAGCGACAGTAACTTCAGCGTTCAGTTGAGGTAATGTTTAATTTCCTCTGATTTTCTCTTTGTTGCGATTTTGTTGTATGGCACAAAATCCTGACACAACATGACATCAACTTTTCACAGTAGAATTATTCTTTGCAATTACCCGAACTTTTTTTCGTAATGAATCCACCGACATGTTATGTATTTGGCCGTTCAGAATAAAATAGTGACCCCCTTCCGTATGCATTATGTTTTAAATTAAAAAAAAAAGATTCATATGAAAATATCGCTTTAATTAAAATTGGGAATGCGAGTGCATGTGTAATTTAGGATAGTCCAAATATTTTATTGTTAATAACTACATTTTACTGCAAAAGTACTATAGGTTTTTATTATCATGACATGCATCCCCAATGCTGTAAACGTACTGCTGTGAAAAACTCTTCGTTCACTCACACGACGTAAATAAGGGTGTGTCCCGGGGTCCTCAAGCGACACGGTATACTAGAAACAATAAGTGAACTTCATCAAAGAGACAACAGTTGAACTGGTGATGTGTTTATGGGAAAAGGTTGTGGTGCCTATAAGTTGTGGGTGAGATGGTTGTTGTTAGTCTTACATCATGAATTAATAGCAACTTTACCATCACCTCCTAGTCAGACATAGATGTGCGTGTGTGTGTGTGTGTGTGTGTGTACCATGGTGATGCACATAATGATCCGTGTCCTCATAATGTTATTCAGTGATGTTACTGTAGTTTACCTTGACGTCTTCACCACCAATGTCTTGCTACCCTCGGTGTTCTCGGCGTCTGTGACCATTGGCACCTGTCTGGTGAAGACTCACTACCAGTCCTCCCTTACACACAGTTTAACGCCTGGACTCATAACCTCAGGTCGTGGTTGTGTCCATAGTTGCGGTAATTGCCAGTCTCCTAAAGGTCCTGGAACCTGAACAGTTTTCTGCACCTCAGATTTGGTCGCCAGGAAACAAAAAGCTTTAGTTTGGTCTTATTTCCGTGGAGAGACTGAAGCCTCAGATATATGCCGGGCTTTCTCTCCACAGGACAATAATTTGTTTTACTTATCCATCTCAACACGGAAATTCCATTACGGAGGAGACCACACATTTACCTTTGAAGATGGTTCATTCTCGTCACGCTGAGGCACAGATCATATATTTATTTTAACTTAAATTACCAAGATATATTCCTCTCACACACACACTTACACACACACACACACACACACACACACACACACACACACACACACACACACACACACACACACACACATATATATATATATATATATATATATATATATATATATATATATATATATATATATATATATATATATATATATATATATATATATATTGTTACGACCATGTCGTATTTTTCCATTTTTTTATATAACATGCTTCCATGTTGTTCCATATTATTCTTGTAATGATGTGTTATATTTACTATTATATAATCTAGTCACATTACCCTGTGCTGTTAAGGTTTTAACTGTTATTATTTGTTCAAGCCCATCTTATTTCTTCATTTAGTATTGTAACAAGCATTCTTTGTTTCTCTAACGACCATCTGCATCGTTAAACGACCCATGTTTCACCCCCTGGTCGCATTGGCGGGAAACGACCCTATATACTGTATAGTACTCCACCGGTAAACAGAGTTCAGTCCAGTCCTCTCGTCATTCAGTTCACCTTCTTTTGAGTGACACTTGTCACCTGTTACTTATACTTCATTTTATTTCTGTGTTGTTCCTGTCACCACCAATGTGGTATATCTATGTGAGTACCTATACATGTCTCTTGTGTGTCCATCAGTGT